GGAGGACAGAACAGATGCTGGAAGACCAATCAGTTGGCTACTGCAGTCACTCAAATGAAAAAAAGATTGCTGTTTGGGGCAGCATGGTGGTGGTGGAAGTAGCAAGAGGTGAATAAATTCAAGCAATTTAGGATTATAATCAACAGGATATGGTGATGGATTAAATATAGGAGATGAGGACAAAGTATTGACTAATTGATTCATTTGATTGATTCATTCAACAACTGAGTGTCAGAAATTGTTCTTACTTAATAGATGGTAGATGCTACAGGGCTCTGATTTTTACTTTTTCACTTTCACATATTTAGTAAAACCATGAATGAAAGCAAGAGGCTACTTTTTCTTTCAAATGTGCAAATGACACAAATATAAACCAGACAGCTATTGGTCAGTTGGTCAGCTGAATTAATATTCATAAAGCCTGACAAGAGAATCTGATACCAACATGAATAATCTCATGAGGTGAGTGTAAAGATCTCTACTTCAGTTTTAAACTAACAACTGTTAGATACATAGCTACAAAGAAGGAATGTCTATCCAGATTCATAGGAGGAAAAGGATGCTTTTATTCACTCCCTGATATTGTAGGTTAACCATAGTGTTAAAATAAGAGTCTATTCCCCTCAGTCACAAGAAAGAAGGAGCACAGCATGGCGATAGCATTTAGCTTTCCATTCTCCCGATAGCAAGTTTGTGTACAAGACAGATGCCTGGTTCTTCATATCTAGAATTGGATCTTTCTGAGTCAAGGAGCACCCCCTTTTCAAATTATCAATGGTCTTGGAAACCATTTTTAACCTTATTGCTGAAAAGTGCCTACAGGTAAGCATACTGCAAAATTTGACACGTACCTCTCTGTGAGTCTGTGCGCATCTGGTCAAGGGCTCTCTACCTGCCACAGATCACACACAAGACTCACTAAAAGGCATCTATGCTGATCCTGGCCCCTAATGGAGCCCCTTCCTGTTCTCTCAGAACCAGAATAGTGGTCAAAGAGAGAAAGGGCAAGGCTTCAAGGCCATGTTTCAATGTTTCAAGGGTGCAGTTGGAGGGGATGTCCCCCTGTCCCCGTCTGCCTCCTGGCCCTGTGCTAGTGCTTGGAATCCCCAGTTACTCATCCCTTGGCTGAGGCATTTTTGAAAGCCCCTGTGAAAATGCAAATGGTGGCTAGAAGGGAGGAATGCTTTTCTGTTTTTAGCTTTTACGAGCTAACTTCAAGTTGATTTTTCTAAATAGGTAATGGAACTCAGAAAGGAATCATGCTCACGAAAGGTGGGAGAACAGGGAATGGGATGTTTCTCATCTTGATAGGGAGATGGGATGCGCCGAAGACTCGCTTTTCTTCCTATACACATATCCAAAATGGTGTTTATTTCAGAAACCTCAGCCTGGGGGTAAGCCTGTGTATAGTTTGGAAACAAGTGTCTATATTAGGTTAGAGTTGAGGACTGCATCCAATACAGGGTTGTGCTCCCAGTCTATGGCCCATCCTTCCTTCCTGCTCCTCCCACACTGCTAACCTGCCTGAAAATGAAAGGTGACTTGTTGGCACTTGCCTGGACTCTAGATAACTTCCCAGGAACCTCCCCACTACCCTCTTGCTTGTTTCAGACGGGTATTGTTCTAGTTCTGTCTCTTCACAGCTTCAATCTCCTGCCCCAGACTCTTAAATTCAACCCAACTCATTGTATTGAACCTTGATTTTCTCCTAAAGATTCTGGCTTGGCTCATCTTTTCATCTTGTATGTTTTTCTCTTCCCACCCTAGCCTCAGCTCCATAACCTCCAATCCCCACCCCCTCCAGGAGGGGACATCTAATATCCAGGGATTTGAGAGTAACCAAAATATCAAGCTCAAAGACATAGCTATTAAATACTGAGCACAATCACAAAGAACCACTTCCTTCCCTCCAAAGCACTTGCTATATGGTCATTATTAGTGTGACTACTTAATACTGTTTTTCTACTAGGCTAGAAGATTCTAGTGTAGGAACCATGTCTTTGATGATCCCTGTAAAAAACCCAGTGACTGGGATATAGTAAGCACATAGCACACATGATTGAACAGAGATTTATACATCAGAACACATGAATGAATATTCATGAAAGCTTCCATCATACACAGGACAGTGCACATACATAGCATTAATGGTGCCTGCAGCAGTGAACAGAAGATCTAATACAGAACTATAAACTTGTGCACATAATTAAATAGACTTATTTTAGTCCAGAGCCTTAGTCCCAAGATTGAAGTTGCACATAAGAGGAATAGGCCATGTCCTTAGTTATTACAATTTGAGGGAAGTGAGAACTTCCCTTAGCCAAAAATTATTTTCACCTGTCTCTCCAGAACCTTAACTATTAGTGGAGGCACTATTTTAAGCCTATTTGCAAAATGCAAATATGTTCATGGTATACAGAACACGATAAACCACTGCCTGGGCTCTATTTTGACCTAAAACTTATTTCTTCCCAAATGAGCTATTGGTCTCTGGTGCCAGGAGGGGCCAATACTGGGATGGAGCACTTAGATGGGAAGAAATGGGGAAAAGTTTCTGGACAGAAGGGAAAGGCCAAGCAAGAAAAAAGGGGCCACTGCAGACTGTGGGTTTTGCCCCCACCCTCTGGACTTCCCACTGGCACAGGGGCTCAGGCAGGGCCAGCAGCCTTGGAGCAGCTCCTCCTGGAATTACTGGAGCCCCCAACACTCCAGGGCCAAGAGTGGCTGCTGATTCTTTGGTAAGTGGCCCCTTCTATTTGCTGCCTGTTCTTTCTCTTAGCTCATCAAAGCAGTCAAGGGGATCTGGCTGGTAGAAACATATTTCTGTATCGTCCCACCTCCAATGTAGCCACTCTGAGAATCCAGCCGGATGGCCAAAGGTTTTACGAATGTACTCCACACTCCTTCTAACCCACTCCCTTGCCAGCCATCAGCCCCACCACTGAACACCTGGCCCAGATGCAGCTTTATCTTTTGACCACACTCCTCAGGCATATGAGTTTCATAAGAACATACCTGTCACACATGCCCATCCGCAGCAGCTCCCAGAGACCAGATGCATAAGCCCAGCGGCATTCCCGAGGAACACGGAAGCGAGGCATTAAGAAAAGATGAAGAAGAGCCTTTGTGAGCTCCCCATACTTCCTAACACTCCTTGTAGAGAAAGAAAGAATGTCAGGGCTGAGGCTAGAACTCAAGTGCCGAAAGGGGAACTGGTGAGAGAGAAACACCACCGCAGACAGCAGCAGTGCTCTCACTGGTTCCAGATAACTTCTGCTGACAGGTGGGCATTTCCACTGATGGAAATGACTACAGATGCAGTGTCGGAGAGTGAGTGAATGTAAAGCCCTCAGGAAACCCCCCAAAGACAGCCCCCACCACAAATAGGACAGAGACACATTCCCTGACAAAAATCCAGGGGTGCAGCCTTTGAGGTCCATCGGTAAACATTCAGTCCAGTTCAAAAAATGTTTTCCTGGGCAGGCACTATGTGTCTGGCTTGGTGGGGCGATAGCAGACCACCCTCAATCAGAATGCGCCAAAAGACAGGGTGTTTCCCCTCTCACCTCCCTGCACATCAGTTACTGAATACCTCTCCCTGCATCCTGTTAGCACTGATGAACATACATAGCCCTTATTTTCAAATTATTCTAATCTAATCCTAATTGCCCTAATCTAGAATGTTGCTGTTACCTCTGCCTGATATTCCTGGAAATGGGTGGTCCTCTGGAGTTTGGGGGACAAGTCACACCCAGAAGTGTGAAAGGTTTGTAAATGCCAAAGGGATCTTCCCAAACCTTTCAGCGCTTAGGCAGGGATGGGCTTCACATATATACTCCTGCCCCAAGTGCATAGCTTCTTTTTTTGGCCTGATCAGGCCCTGCTAAGCCCTGTGCTCAATGTGGGGGGTATGTACGTGCCTCTGAGTCTGCAGCATTTGAGCTCAAGAGAGAGGCAGGCTCTTCTGAGCATGCCACCCCCACAGTCTTGGAGCTAGCTGTGCCCTGCAGGGCTGCAGAAATTAAAAGTGATGAAGTGAAGGTTGTATTGCCCTGACTGAGGAGACCCACCAAAGGATGCTGGTGCAGGGAAAGTAGTGGGGCTTCAGAACTGGTGGCCCAAGGTCAAATCCTGGCTTGACACTGGAAGCTGGCAAGTTATTGAGTATCTCCCAGTTTCAGTCTTCTCACCTGTAAAATGTGATTAGTATTGTAATAGCTTCTATGCTGCATTGTTGTGAAAAACAAATGCAATCTTGCATGTAAATCAACTGGTGTAGAGAATGCCATGTGCCTATTTCGTCTTCATTATCACCTTCCTGTTTTCCTTCTGGACTTTCCAGTTCTCACTTTGACCTTTCCACAGAGATCTTCCTTCTGTCACTGCAAAGGTGATGCTCATTCATTCCCAAACAGGTCTGTAAACCCCTTCACCTTCCATCCAGGGCCCATTAAACCCATAGGGCTCCTCTGTGGGTCCTGAGCCCTGACTCACCGGGCCTTCACTTCCCCTCAGCCATTCCACGTGCATACCTTGGAAACTTCATCCTTTATTTGGATAGGCCCCACCTGGGGTTTTCCTCTGGATTTTACAATCATATAGCTTTTTTATTTGAATGGGTCCATTTGGTTTCCTTATTGTAACACATAAAATCACCCACTTATCAGAGCACAGGAGAATTAATTCACATTCTATTTAGTTTTCAAGTTTCCTGCTTTTTCTTGTACTTAGCAGTTGAAATAAAAGACAGACTAAATTGGAAAGTCCTGTTATCAAAATATTTGGAATAGTATTTCCCAAACTTCAGTGACTCTAACCTCATATCCATGTAAAATCTGTACTACTTTTAAACTTGCTTTAAGTAAATTTATTTAAAAGAGAATCTTTATGTCAACAGTAAGAAATTTTTTCAAACAGTATTATTTGCCATAAATAAAGGATGAGTAAAAATAACACATCACAGAGGCCTGTGTTCAAACTCCAGGTCCATTAGTTTATACCTGTGTTCTCTTGGAGAAGTTAGTTAACCTCTCTGAGCCTTGGTTTCCTTATAGAAATAATGCTAATGATCTCATAAGGTTGTTGTGAGGATTAAAATAGAAGGACATCTTTATGGTGCCTGCTGCAGATCCTGGCATATAGTAGGTTCTTTATTGTTTTCTCTTTTCCGTATTGCTTCTCTCACTTACTTACTTCAGTTCCTGTTTGAGCAGCCTCCTCAAACACTGTAACAAAGAAGTAAAGGGAGACAAGTAGTGAGGCAGGCAGCAGAAATAAAGGACAATATGGTGTCATGGAATTCTCTTACTCTGTGACTTAGAGTTGCAGGGTTGTTTAAGGGAGCTCAGCAGTCATTCCAAGCTCTTACCCAGGCAAAGGCCCCCTTGATGTCCTCTCTGACAGATGAATGTCCAGTCTTTGCTTTTTGAAAACTCACTGTCTGATAAAACAGTTATACAAGAAAAGTCTTCTTTGTAATAATCCCAAATCTCTCACCCCTAACTCCCCAGCCCCATAATTACCATCTAGTTGTCCCTGACATGTTTTCTAGAACTATCAGAATATTTGTTTTTTATTCTGTTATTAAAAATCTCCCCAAAGAGTTGGAAGCAGATTTTTAAAATTTCCTTAATAGTTTTCTTCTCTCAGCTAAATACTACCAGTGTCCTCAACTCTTTCTCATATGAGGTGGTCTGAAGAACCCTAGGTAACTTGGGTCTCCCACTGGCAACCATCTCCCTGAGTTTGTTAACACACCTCCTTGCAGGCAGGCTCACAGAGTGGAGTGGGCAGTGACCAGATAACTTTCATTAACGAGTCAGAGATCAAATCAGCCTGTAAGCAGTTGCACTGGAGGTTGGCTGACCATGAATTTTTTTTCTTTTTCTCACATGTCAAGGTAGATGGCCCCCTGGCCCCATCTTGTTTGTATGTCAGTGTTTGGGGTCAGATTCAGGCAATCAAAATTACTCTGAATCCCATATAGTCATCCAGTATATTAGCTGTCCCTCCCAGCCTTGTGCCACTGAACATATAATAAGGAGGCCATGCACAAGGGTCATCAGAGCCAAGGATGAAGAGGAGCCAACAGTGATGGTGGTCAACAATCCCACCTGCTGAGAGGAGGCTGAGCAGAATGAAGATCAGCTCTTTGCGTTTAGTGAGGAGGAAGTGGATATCAACCTCAGAAAGCTGCTTTCTGTGTGGGGCTGCTTCCTCCACTGCCCCACTCCCGGATGTTCTCAGATCTGTGGAGGCCCAGGCTACAAGGAAAAGCAGCAGGAGGGGAGTGGCTGCAGATGGTAGCTGGGTGGGAACAGTCACCTTGCTGATGTCCTTGCTCAGCTTTGCCCAAGATATAGTCCCCTGGGACCACATAGTTAGGATCTACTGTAGGAGGCAAAGCTAGAAACCTGTGGGCTTTAGAAACATCCAAACACACTTAGCTGAATTGTTGCTCTAGATAAATGGCTTCCTGTGGCCGTGGTCAAGAGGCAATCTTAAAAGCATTCCAGGTGGAAGTGGTGGTGGTGGTTCCACTATAGGACAAAATAGTTTCCACAAATAATTGTAGCATTATTTATTGAAATGTTAATTAGCATTTGTTTTTGGAGCTTTCTTGTCACAGAGATTTTTGCAGGGGAGAAAGCATAAGAGACTTGAAGTCAAAGGCACTTCTAGACTTTTGTGAAAGCTCATGGAAGAGACAATATAGGTGTGTCTCAGAGGGGAGAGAAAAAAGAGAGTGCTTTTGAAATGCAAGAGGAAGGGAGGGAAGGGAAGAGGTATATGGATCCCTTCAGTAGTGGAACCCAAACACAACCCCCTCACTTTCAGTGCTTCCAGGGGGTGAACAACCTCAGGGATGATGGCTCATACCGAGGGAGGCAGTGCCCTTGACTCAGGGAGCCCAGCCTCTGTAGACAATCTCATTCCCTACTGTGGCACAGTGGGCAGAGAGCTGCCAGACTTCACAGACCACTGTGGGTTACTTAGTGAGGTTGCTAATGGCAACCAGGACAGACTAGAGACTTGAGACTCTTTCACATACCTATATATGATTCCACCTAGATCACATCCTTGAAAAGGTCAAACCATGGAGATAGTAAAAAAGATCAGTGGTTGCTAGGGCACATGAGGAGGGATGAATAGGTAGAACATGGGATTTTTAGGCCATGAAACTGTTCTGTATGATACTGTAATGGTGGATATCCGTTCTTATAAACTTGTTAAAACCCATCAAACTGTAGAAAGCAAGGAGGGAAACAATGTAAGTATGAATTTTAGCTAGTAATAATGTGTCAGTATTGATTTATTAGTTGTAACAAATTTACCACACTGATGTAAGATGATAAGAGGGGAGCAGGTATACAGGAGTTCTCTGTATCATCTGCTTAATTTTTCTATAAATCTAAAGCTGTTGTAAAAATAAAATCTGGTACTTTAAAACACATGCACACACACATTTACCACATGCGCTGATTCCTGGTAAAGCAACTAAATTAATGATGCGACATTTTAGAGGGCTTCTAGACTAGTGGGTAGGAAAATTAGCATCAATTTCACAGTTCAAAGGTTCACTTCTTCATGTTGCACGCTTGTAATTAAATGTCATACATAAAACGTTACTGTGAAAAATCTCCAATTTTTTATTTATACCTTCTATATGGACATTTTCTGCATCTTTCTGGCGCAGAATTATAGATTTTTATGTCTGTTCCTTAGGTGAATTAAAGAAAAAGCCCCATTGTTTTCTAAGGGCCAGATCAATAAAAAACAGCTTTCAGTTCCATGTTTCAGGAGGAACATTCTTAGAAATGTAGAAAAGTTTCTTTTTTCTTTGAGGGGGAGATACAATCTTGACCTATGCTTAAAAGCAAATTTTATACAATTAAGCATTAGAAGTTGACTTTTTCCTTTGTCTGAGCCAAATTTTTACAGCCTCAGTATTTATACCCTACAAGTGGGTTGCCAATTTAGGGAGAGACCCTTCCTTATAGCCTCTAGCGCAGGCTCCCTTTATGTCCTCAGCTGGCTTGGTTCAGTCTCCCTAGATGCCTGGGGGGTAATTTCTTTTATTCACTTTCTCATGATGCAAATTCACACCCATCATTCATGCATGCTACACAAGAGGCAATATGTATGTTTCTTTACTTGTATTCGATCAACTTCTGAATACAGACTCTAGGACCCAGTAACACACTTTTGCCTAGAAGTCCTCTAAGGAGAAGTCAGAAAGGCAAGGCACAACAAGAGTTATTTTCAAGATTCTGTCAAGTGAGTACAAAAAATTATTGTCTGCACCTTCTCTTAATGTCACATGGTGACTTAATAAAACATACCTGAACTTCAGCAGCAAAATACATTTATTTGGATTGAAGATCACTTAGCAGATAGTATAAGGTAGGCTAAGGAAAAATTGTCTAAAGGATAAGCAGCAGGAGGCATGCTTTCTAGAAAAAGTCCTGATGTACTGAGATGGTGTGGCCTTCAGATAAGCTGTACCTACAGCAGTTGGCTGAGTGGGGAAGGTGAGGAAGGCAGGGCTGGGTAGAGCTCAGGCTAGGGACAACAAGCCTTGCAGGTGAGGAGCCAGCCATCTCACCCCCAGGGTTTGAGAGAGATCGGTGGACTGGCTGGAGCTGCGGCAGAGTGGGGTGGGGCTTCTGGAAATCAGGAGTCTCTGGGAAGTGTGATATCTACAGTGTGGTAGGTGGAGACACTTCATTATTTCTCCCCGTGGAACTAGGCGCATCGCTGGGGAATTGGCCCCCAGGTCAGGAAACAAGGCTAAGCCAGACAAGGACTACAATTTGGGGAACTGAGGGACTCACAGCTCACTCCACAGACACTAGAGACCTACAATAGCAAGACCACATCCTGAGCACCCCTTTCGCCATGCCTGCCTGTCTCGTGTACCATCACCTCCTGAAAGGTGCTGGGCAGAACTTTGGGGGTGGTGCCTGGGCATCCACAGCAATTGGTTGTAACCAGAGACTCTACCACACACACACACACACACACACACACACACACATTCTGTATGCTTAACCTTTGTTCTGACCCATCTTTGTATGGCAGTAGTATTTCCCATTTTCCAATAATATCTTAAAGTCTACAGAAGTAACTGCACTATTGGGCATTTTTACTTCCTAGTTTGCTTTCATTCATTCAACAGATGGTTAACCAGCTCTGAATAAGTGCAGGCCCTGGGCTGGTCCTGGGATCCTAGGTGAGCAAAAGCAGAGGGTGCCTGCCCTCCCAGAGCTGCGGGTGAGTTCAGGAGACCTACACCAATCTAATAATGTTAAGGTACTTGCCATCGAGTGATTTTCAGCATAAACAACTTCAGTTATGTATAATGTCCTAGGCATTAAATACATCTTAAGCATACCAGGTAGATTCTAACAAGGTCAGAGAGGTCACAATTAAGAAAAATTTCCCCAAGCCCTCTGTCTCAGGAATAGGCTACTCCAAGAGTTACTGGTTCTTCTTCAGTTCTTATTTTAAATCGTCCTGGGGTCTGCATGACTATCAGTCATGGATGGTAGGGTAGCGAGAACTCACTTGAGGGAAGGATAGATTAAGTGATCCTTAACTTCTAATTTAATAAGTCTATATTCTATCTATTCAGGAAGGTTTACAGCATAATCTGACAATCTCAGGACTTCCTCTGATAGTTTACACAAGAGACGGCCTATTAGTTAACAAACAACGAAAGCACATGAACTCTTTCCCAGATGAATGAAATACACACATGTTTAAAAATTGATACCAATAAACTACCAACATTGGTGATAGTACTTCTCAGAATTCAATAAAATTAATATCTGATTCCAAACTTAATACCCTTTCAATCTTTAGTGTGACCTGGGAATATTAAACCCAAACTCAGAATTTAAAGTGGCTCATTTGCTTAATTGAAGGTAGGCACTTACACATTCTGAGAAACTGTCATTGCTTTCACAAAACATCTGAGATTTGACATTTTCTTTACAATCTCAGAAGAAATAAAATTATGTAATATTCTAAATGAAATGTAAAAGTTGCTTGGAGAGTTTAGTCCATATATTTTTCCTATTTGTGCAGAGGAAGGAATATAATACATAACAGAACTAACACATTTTAACAAATGGCAGCATATTTCAAATTTAGGGAAGCATGAAGATCTGGG